GGAGCTCGCCAACGCTAGCCATGTACGCCTGCTACAGATTATGCATGGACAGCAGCAGGATGCGACAGCTTGCAGTACGTCGGCGTCCTCTACGCGGTAGTTTATTTTAAGGTTGGGGAGATTCACTGAGGAGTTCATCAAGAAGATTAATAATACTGGAAACAACATTATGCCGGGGTTATTCATTAAAGGTAAGATGGCGGTGCAGGAGAACAAAAGGTTGTGACTTTTTAATAGAGATGGGCTGCTCGTATGACACGACTTGATAAATAAAATCAACACGCCGCAGTCGTGCGTACTGGCGAAAACAAACATCGGACGGAGCGATAAATGCTTTGTAAGGTGACTTGTAATAAATGTTCCCAGTGTGGAGCTAAGGCCAGTATGGAAGCGGCTCAGTAAATAAGACCATGAGATCCTGCAGGCCTAAAGGCAATGCTAGGTGACACCATTTCCGAAGAATAAAAAAGTGGGAAGACTATGGGCTCTATTTATCCAAGGTTTCACCCAAGATTCACACAACGTGCACCCAAGATTCCATGAAAAAAATGGTTGAATCTTGGGTGAAGGCTGTGTGAATCTTGGGTGAAACTCTTGATAAATAGACCCCATGTCTTGCAGCTAATTAAACATTATGTCAAAATAACTTTTTTTTCTAGTTTTGGAAATGAGAAGGATTAAAACTCTGTTTTATTTTTTACTGATATCTGGGGCTCTAATAAAGAGTTTTACCCTCACTTCCTGTCTTGTTCATGACAGTTTCATCAGGCAGGAAGTGAGGGAAAATCTGCAACAGGGACACAGGTATAAATACATATCTGAAAGGGACTCTAACATCCCTCTAGTCTGTATTTTATTTCTGTCTGGGTTGCTTTTGGAGCATTCCCCTCACTTCATGTCTGGTAAATGTCAGCAGGACAGGAAGTAAAGGAAATTCTCTCTACTGGAGCCCTGTTAGCAGGACAAATCCAACAGAGGTTCTAATCTGCCCCACTCTATCCAAAACTAAACACAAAGTTTTGACTGGTTGTACACTTTAAACAAATTGGATGCTTAATAATGTAACATGAAACATGATGACTGTTAGTGCTTGGGCAAACATTAATGAAATCATTTGCTGGGCCATACAGTATAAATTTATTTAAACTGAATTTATTACAAAAAAAAGTTGGAGAGTTTAATACCACTTTAATCCTTTCTGCAGCATATTTACCTTACTTAACGCCAGATTTAAAGATGACAATCCTCACACCGAAATAATAATACAGTGGAGAGATGCGGGAGCTGAAAATTCATGACCTATCTAATGTCAACCGCTTTCTACATCATCAGCCGGTCAACTTTAAAGCCAGCAATAACCTGTGATAGCTATAAAAGCCTTTCAGGAAGCATGAAAGTCATTTTAAATCCTGCAGCCCCGTATGAAATATGAAATAAACATGTAACTTTCATAAACAGCAGTCACTGTAGCAAAGGCGATATTGGTTTCCACGTTGTCAGCTGTCGCTCCATCTATCGGCACAGCAGGTAGGTTGCATTTTATCACAGGGGTTGTCAGAGCCGAGTGCCAAATGAAAACCATACTGAGATTAAAATTATTTGCTTGAACTAATACAACTTAAAGTGGACCTGTCATCCCTGAGGTAGGGTGAAAGCGACGCTTATGAAACACAACGCCAAGAATTTTTTTTTAACCCAATTACTAAAATCTCATCAGAATTAACAAAGCCATTTCAAAATGTGTTTTTAATATTTTTACATTTGCAATTTATTTTTAAATAATACCTGGAGATCCTGCCATGAAGGTTCTTATTCAAGCGCCTCTTGTTATAGCGTGACAACTTTTAAATTTGTGTTGCCCCCCTGCCTCTTGCTTTCCCAATGGAGGCTACAAAAGGCTGTGCCAACACACATTCTATAAGCATTGCACACTGCTGTTACCATCAGGAAATTATGATATTCAATGATTTGATATGTAGATAGGAAATTATGATATCCATTCAAAGATGTGATATGTAGATAGGAAATAATTATATTCATATAATGATGTGATATGTAGATAGGAAATAATTATATTCATATAATGATGTGATATGTAGATAGGAATTAATTATATTCATATAATGATGTGATATGTAGATAGGAAATGATGAAATTTAATGATATGATATTTACTATGAAATTATGATAAGCAATGACGAAGACGGCGGGTGCAGTTACCTTCGGGACCTGTTCCTGAAGTTGGGGAGGAGGTTCTGTGGCCTCTACGAGCTTCCCTGTCTCCTCCCCTGTCTCTCTTCAGGAGAGCCCCCACCTAGTACTCGTGGGACCTACTTCGGGAGGGCCCTGAGGATCGGGGTCCGCCAGTCTTCGGGTAGGTGGATCTAAGTCGTCCTTGCCCCTGTCAGGAGCCTTGTGCCCCAGGGGGTTCAGGAAATCGTGGCCCTTCCTCTTCGGAGGAGGACCAAAGCACCCTTGTGCATTTTTGTTAGTGTGTAGTGATTTCACTGTTTGCTTTTTCTGTTCACAGGGGATGTTTGCTTTGTTGCACGCACTGCAGACTTAAAAAAAATAATTCACAAGATAGCAGTAAATTAGCCTCCAGAGAACCTGGGGATTTCATGGATGCCACCACCTACAGGTCAAAAGGGAATTTTCTTTATGCCATAGTTTATATTTACCTCAATAAAAGGAAATAAAAGGAAATATTTTTTAGTCCTGAGCATTAAAACCCATCAGGTCCATCAGCATAGTAAACTCCCAATGCTTTTGAATGGGAATTCGTCATTGCTCCGTGTCAGAATAAAGAAAAAAAAAGACACAGCGGGGTTTCTCTTCTTGGCGGCCGGGAGCGGGAGACTCCCAGAGCGTCCGAGAGAGTTTTTAACCCCGTCATGACTGAGGCCCTTTTTTCATTTTTTGCACCCATGTTATATTCCACATTTTAGGCCTGAAAAAGACGTAAAACCCCCCAACATTATATATTTTCTGAATGCCAAGACATGTATCTCTTCTTACCTAGATGCATTTAGTTAATATGCTCTTCAGCGCCATCTATTGGCCATAGTGTGGTATTATCCCAATGTACTCTATATTCTGTACGAAAAAAACAATTTTTTCTGCTGCACATAATGTCAGAAAAACATTCGACCAGATGAGAAAATAGCCTATGAATATCTGATTTAGCCCCATTTTCACAACAGCTGGTTAATTCGCACTCCACAAGTGTTTATGCAGTTACACTGGACAAATAGCTATGTGATTTTTGTTTTTGTTATAAATAGACTCCATATTGTTACAGCTTGATAAAAAAAAATGTGTCCTTTCCCAAGAACCTGCAGCAGTATTTATTTAATCATCTGCAAGTCTGTCGCTTCCTTGTTAAGTAACGTAGGCAAAATGACAGCCACAAGCAATAACATGTCCCCTTGCAGCACAGCCCAGGTCAGTCCTGAAACGACCATATTTCCCCAGGGGCCGTCTGCTTACACGTGAAGAGCGCTGTACAGACAGACGCCCTTTTGTTCGGGAGCAGGCAGCGCGTTTGAAGGTTTATTTTTATTTATTTTTCGAGGCCTTGACAGACATCACCGAGATACATCTTCCACCTGATAAATTAGACCTGCGTTCAAGGTCACACTGAGAAAAACACAGACCTCTAGAGCTGGCTGGCAATAAGTAAAATACAGACACATTTTCCTATTATAGAGTTAAAAAAAAATGACATACAAGTGCAGCTTTCATAAACTCCATATTTGTTGTTTAGTAATTGTCTGTTAAAGGAAAAGTGAGAAGATGAGTTACTATTGCAATATTTATGCCAAGGTAGATGTACAACTTTAATTATGAATTTTGTTTGCAAAAACACTATGGTATCTATTTTCTAAACAATTTGCATGGCCCGTCATCCTGCGAATATCTGGCAACGTTTCTTTTGGGGGAATAATGCCAAAACAGATGTTCTTCATATATTTGTTCCCACTTCGAATGTAGTGTTGTAATAATACTTTACAGCCACTAGATGGAGATTTTCCAAGTTCAAATGTAGTCTGTTTTAATAATACATTATGGCCACCAGATGAAGCCGAGGAGCATAGGAAGTACGTTTTTATTCCCTATGCTCCTCAGCTCCCTCTAGTGGCCATAAATTATTCTTACTACAAAAATATATTAAAGGACAAGTTCACTTTTTGCAAAAATGAAATAAATGCATAAAAAAATTATATATATATATATATTAACTATTATTTTCCTTTTTTTTTTAATTTCTATTAAATTAATATTTAAACTTTTATTCTTTTTTTTTTTACAAAAGCATGAAAAATAAATTATATCAATATAACTGCATTTCCTTCTACCTTAATCATAACTTTTGTGTCAATGGCCAATTATAAAATACAATTTATAATTTTTGTATTTACAGTAATTATATTTAAACTAACACTAATCAAAATAGAAAAAAAGTGTTTTGTTTTTTTTTTCTTCTTAGTTTTGTCATTTTTTTTGTCTGTGGATTGCATAAAAAAAAATTTGCAAGGCAACATCACAAAAAGAAAGCCTTGTTTGGGCATATTAAATACAAACAATAAAAACATTACTTTGTTATCTTAAGTAATTAAAACACAAACCAAGCTATTGCCAAATAAACTGGCAGAAATGTAAAAACTGCTCTGGTCCATATCTCTGCTACAGGTCTGAGAGCTGAACTGGTTGTGACCCCGCCACAGTACAGAAAAGATACATCAGGCTTTGCAGTCTGAAGCCAGTTTACAGACACAGGCTTCACCAAAATGGCTCTCATAATGCAGACTGTCTGATAAACAGGGGTTTTCCCTATTGTTAAGCAAGAGGCGTGTTTCACTGACAGCGGAGGGACAACCAGTAACTAACCCTGAGTTAAATTAGGCAGTGACGCTCTGTTCTGCTGTGTATATACATATAGCCTATATATATAGCCCTGGGATGTGACTTTTGTCCGCAGTGTTCAGGTCACCCTGTGTTGTTGGTAGTGGCTGTATGGCACATGTGTGTGGAGTGTGTGATGTGTGTGCAGGTAGGATAACCTCAGGCTGGCACAATGGAGAGAAAGGAATTCTTCGCCTCCTTACTGGTGAGTTCTGATAATTTCTGTGTGTGACTGAAGACATAGTGACTGCTACTTCTCTCATATCCCTCCGTGTGGTAGGATTGTCATGCTGGGACTTGTAGTCCTACAAGCTCTAAAGAGCCATAGTTTGACTGGGGCTGGCAGTCTGTGGTTGCTTCTGCTGACCCCCCTACATCCCTGTAGGGCACAGAACCTCAATGCATTGGAATAAATGGGCCAAGCCCAGAGAGTAAACTTTGCAACCAACATTAACTTTGCACTGGTGCTCAGTAGTGATGTGCATGGGGTTTGGTACAAACCGAGTTCATCTGAGCCAGTGCAAAACTGTCAGTGACAGATTCCCCCCTCTCGGCCCAATCAGCTGCAGCCGGTGCATTCTCTATCTTGCAGCTACACATAACATTGGGGTGGGGAATGCCCCGCCTGCAGTGGATTGGGTTGGGCGGGGGGTATGTCAATGACAGTTGTGTGCAGGCTCAGATGAACTTGGTTTGTACCAAGTCCTTGCACATCCCTAGTGCTCATATCAAGGGCTTGTGGTGCGTTCCAGAGCGGTAGCTCCTGGAATGCACCACAATCGCTTACAAAACTTCACCCTGTGTTCTGGGGCGGGAGGGGGTGTGGTGGTGCATTGAAGTCAATGGCACCGCACGCAACTCTATTTTTTGCATTTGCAGTGGAAAGGAACGTAGGCAATGTTTTGCCACGCCCCCTCCCGCCCCAGAACGAAGGGGGAAGTTTTCTGAGGGGTTGCGGTGCTTTCCAGCAGCTACCGCTCTGGAACGCACCGCAATTGGTGTGAACAAGCCCTTAGGTTTCAGTGACATACAGGGTGCTGTGTCTCTTACCTGCTCCAGCTTGGGCATCTCCCCGTCAGCCACCCATCCTGTACCTGATGAAGCTGTAGATCTGAATAACCTCAGGAAATCCCATGAATAGGATGATGCGCTCTCCTCAGACCACATCTACACACATCCCAAAAACGTACTTCTCCTGTGAACAAAAAAGTGAATAGTGTAATCACCACACAGTAAAAAAAAAAGTGCACAAGGGTGCTGTGGTCCTCCTGAAGAGGAAGAGCCTTGAAATTCCTGAACCCCCGGGGCGCAAGGCTCTTTAACAGGGGCAAGGACGACTCAGGTCCACCTACTCGAAGGCCGGCGGTCCCCAATCCTTAGGGCCCTACCAAAGTAGGTCCCACGAGTACTAGGTGGGGGCTCTCCCAAAGAGAGGCCCCTCAGTGGGGGAAGGCAGAGAAGTCCATGAAGGTCACAGAACCTCCCCCACAACATCAGGATGGGCCTCGAAGGTACCCGCGCCCTCCATCATCTGTGGAGTCAAAGGTGCAATTGTGCATAAAAATAGTGCTTAAATAAATAAGTGCCAGTGCACAAACCAGTCAGAAAATGCTCTGAGTGCCGTAACCTAGTGACGGTGAATCAAGTGGGGTCTCAAACCCAAGTGATTTTCCGGCACAGCCTGGGACGCCACCCCCAGGGGCCAAAGCACCATGGCCTCTGCGCTCCCCATTCCCTCCGCCAGACAAGAGCAGCCCCATTCCTACCAGAAAGCATTAGCACCAGAGAGGTTCCCGCCTACAACACACATCCTGCCATGGTCACAAGCTGCTGGTCTGTAGCCCTGGCCAATGGCTTTCTAGCTCCTCAGGCAGCCAGCTTTTCTCATCCCACTTCCCAATGTGGGAGGCACCATTAGTAGTAGCTGCAGGGGGCAATGTGATGCCAATGTTGGGCAGATATAAATACACTGCAATGAAGGTCGGAACCCCAGTTGAGAAAATCTGGTGTAATCTGTTCATTATGCTTAAAATAGCACTTGGGAAACATCATCAACTTTACAAAGGTGTGAACGGAGGCATAGGCTTGTTTTCTCTTCTGGCCCAATGCTCTGCTGTAGTAGCAATGGTCACATTTATTTGTTAATTCCCTCCAGTGGTGATCTCTAGAATTGTTACATTGTACCTCCTGTTATTGATATGTATTTCCCGTGCTCCTCAGCTCCATCTAGTGGACATTATGCAGTAATGTCCCGGTGAACCTATTTTTACAACTATCCGTAGTATTTGGGTCATCAACCAGGGCCGTCTGTATAATGAGGCAGCCTGATGCTGTTGCCTCAGGTGGTACCTCTTTGGGTCACATGGGGGGTGGGGGGCAGGATGGCTGCTCTACTGCAGAATGCTGCCCCCTTTCTGGCCAGTGCATCCTAGGTTGCCAATACACATGTCGTAAGGGCTATCCACATCTCACCGCCCAGCTCTTAGCAACCTGGGACACTTTGGCCGGCTTCCCACCCAGCTGGGCAGGAGATGATGAAGAGGCCAACACTACCCCCTATTACTGACTACTACTAGCTCACATTTGCCCAGTAATATCGCTCGCCCTCCGGATAGTGGCACATTACCTCTCCGGACGTTTCAATAATAGGTCACCATGCAATGTGGTCACCTCAGGTCTTCCTTTCCTAATGTTCAACAGTTTTGCTCATTCATTTCTATCGCATACATTGGCATGTCTCTCCGATCGGGCTCCCCTGCACCTCTGTGTTTTGCAGCATCTCTGATCATGTCATCATAAACGGATGAAGAGTCACCAGAGCTCAACTGAGGATTAAAGAGTCTCCTGTATTTATTTGTCACCTAGGTCAACTACAGCCAATGGTCAAGTGCCACACAAGGGCATTTACATTTCAAAACCTCTGGTCACGAAAGGGTTAATCTTCGATTGTGTGCTGGTGAGTCTTCATCCTTTTAACTGTGGCTTTGCACGGCACCATCCATTGTGATCACTACTCGAACCATCTAACTAAATTGGTCACAACACAAGAGTACAGGCCAGAACTGATATTCTTCATGATCATGTGACAGAGCATCAGCCAATAACAGGAGAAGATATCGCTTTGCATTTAAAAAATCTTTCGCAGAGCAGCTTCCTCTGGTGTAGCACAAAAGTAATCATTATCTTTCAAGCTGAACTTTGGCATTACCTTTTTTTTTTCTTCTCACACAAGTCCTCCCTTGTGTTGAAACGCAATACTGTCAATTCCCTGTAAACTTGCATCGCCACAATTTAGCCCTTTTGAAGCTGCAGAGCTATCTTGAACACACCTTCATTCCTTTCTGAATGACTTCAATCATCATCAATCCCCTCTTCTCTTAAATTTGTACCATCATTGCCCACCTCTCACAACTGAAAGCTTTTTCTTTGCAAGCAATATATGAAAAACACATCCCTGGCATCCCTTCAGACGTGTGTGTGCTCAAGAAAATGATCTGCAGAGTGCACAGCTAATGTCTTCCAGTGGCCAGCCGGGAAGTGTGTTTAGAGAGATGCCAGGATTCATTTATTTCATAGAACGCTCTTGACCTTTTGGGTGCTTTGAAGTTTACAGGAGCCTGATAGCCCCTCCTCAAAGCTCAGAGAAGGACCAGCAGACAGAGCCAGGGGTAACTTCACTGGGTCTGAAAAGATGTATTTCTTGAAAACAAAATGATTTGATTGAGCATTTGTAACTGTTTTTTGACTAGGGGGAAAGAGGGAACAAGGGAAGGTATTATATATGTATATTACATTTCAGCTTTAATATAAGCTATTAACATTATACTTCCATATATGTAGCTTAAAACAAGAATGCCACTCAAACGGGAATAGAGTTGGCAGATGACAGCCACCTGTGAAGTGCAGCGATGACACGTTAGCACATTCCTGCACTTACATTACTCCCTCCAAATTACTCACTGCTTGTCAAGCTTCTCAGTAAGTCCTTTTTAAGGGATTGATGAAGAACCCTCTTATACATTTGAAACGCGTTGGGTTTGAGATCACATACTGTGTATTGTGATTAGAGCTGCAGCTAACGATTATTTTCAAAATCGATTAGTTAGCCGATTATTAAGTTCGATTAATCGGATAACACTGGGTTTGGACATTGTGTGGATATCTGCTGAGCAATCCAACTCACTAATACAGGGAGTTAGGACAACCCTATCCCCCCCAACTCCACAACATATCTGCTGCATTACATGACCCACTGTGCCATGGCATTTGTCACATGGTGATGATTTGGAGGATCTTTCCAAATTGACGTCTGTATTTTATCTGGGAGAGACTATGTGGCCAGTGCTTCGGCGAAAAACCCCATATGATGGAAAACTGTTGCTTTAACTTTTCAAGTCATCTGAACAGTAAAAAAAAAACCTGCATTGATTTTCCACCATAAGGCTGTTATGTATGTAAGTGGTAAATCCCGAAGACTGTGATGAACAACAAAGGTTTCATCAAATGAAGGGACCACGAGGGGAATACTAACTGGAAATCAATCTACATGATATCCTAGTCTGGGATTAGAAGTGTAATTACCTTATTGATTATAGTTTCAGCTATAGGGGTCACATCTTCAGCACTTGACAGGCGGCACTTGAAAGTGAGATGTACCGTGAGTGTTATGTGGCGCCTGTTATGTTCTTCTTCAGACAAGATAATTGTTTAAAGGGCCTCCAAAGTATAATATACGTCAACTGGGTACTGAAACTTTGTGAAAGGTCTCCGGTGAGGACCGTTCATGTCCAAAATGGACACATAACATATCACCAGTGCACATTTGGAACCCAATAAATAAATAGCTGTTTTATATTATCTTACCGTAAGACATTCAAAAAAGTACATTTTAGGTACCATGTATGTTCTTCTCTTCCAACGTAAATGGGCTGAATTGAGAAAATCTCAGTTCCCATGATACTGTAACATACTTTTTCCCTGCTTGAGTTCATGGTACTATTACACCGCATACTGGATGTCTGTGTTCCTTCTTCACTGGGTTATGCATATCTGTTTTTGTCATATATGATACACTGCCCGGCCCCCCAAAAAAAAGTCACACACTCTATTATTTTGTTGGACCGCCTTTAGCCTTGATTGCGCACATATATATATCGTTTTGATAAGCCTATACAATGTCACAACTTTTATTTCTATCCAGAGTTGCATTCATTTTTCACCAAGATCTTGTAGTGATGATGGGAGAGTCAGATCACGGTGTAAAGTCTTCTCCAGCACATCCCAAAGATTCTCAATGGGGTTAAGGTCTGGAATCTGTGGTGGCCAATCAATGTGTGACAATGATGTCCCATGCTCCCTGAACCACTCTTTCGCAATCTGAGACCGATGAATCCTGGCATTGTACTCTTGGAATATGCCCAATGTGCCATCATGGAAGAAAAAATGAATTGATGGAAAAACCTGATCATTCAGTATATTCAGGTGGCCAGCTGACCTAATTTTTTTTGAGACGTAATGTTGCTGTACCTAGACCTGGCCAACTGTAGCAACCCCAGACCATAACACTTAGCCAATGGAAGGCTGTGACCTATTTGCTTAGCTAAATCCAGGTGGTGACTTTTTTTGCCCAGGCAGTGCATATACCTGGGCCGAACAAATCCCAGGAGTCAGGTCTCCAATGCTCCTTAAAATGACAGCGGGTGCCCAACTTTTAAGTTTTCTCTAGTTGTTGTCAATCGAGCTGAGTTCTAAAAAATCCTACTGGCTCCTGCATAGGACAGACTGACTCCTCAACTCCATATTCATTTTCCACCCCTGATCTATACAGTCTTTGTTTTTAAAAAACATTTAATACATGACACAGAATTTACATTGGTTTACAATACATTGGTTTTCTAAAGAGAGAGCACAGTGCAATCTGTTTAATGAAAAGCTCCAGCAAAGCACTACAGAGGGAGCAGGAGTTAGCGGGAAGTACACTTGTATATGTAAATCACAGCTTGAGCCGCTGAACTCTGTAACAGGCTTTTTTTAACAGGCATTAAGGAGAAAGTGGAGAAATTAAGGAGCCCAGAGCTCTACCTGCTAGCTAGATATAAGGTTTTGGTTCTGATCATAAATTAAATAAAATGTACAGAATCGGTATATCTTTGAGGGCCCAGACACACCTAGGTGGCCCATTGTGGTGGGTTAATGCACACTTGTTGAGTGGGTCCATGACGGCCTTGGCACACAGGAAGTTGGTTGAAGGATGCTGACCATCATTAAGCCCATCTAGTGGCAGAAAGGAAACACGTTGGGTGCAACTCTGAAATAAAGATATTTCAGCAAAATCTGTTTTTCTTTTTAACTTTTATTGTGGCTGGGCAATTAATTTTTTTATTTTTACCTAAAGTTTTGTTCTAACAATTATCAATCCCATACAGGCGGTCAAGCACCTTCCTCGGTATAATGATGTATATGTTTGATTGCCAGATAAGGTTTTCTTCCATATTCACTATTGATGTTTTGTTCCTTAGGCCGGTGGGTCAGCTGGGATGTGCGTGGACCTTATCTTATTTCCTCTTGACACTATTAAAACCAGACTACAGAGCCCTCAAGGGTTTTCCATGTCTGGGGGCTTCCGTGGCATCTACGCTGGCGTCCCATCCACAGCTATTGGATCATTTCCCAATGGTAAGAATTTTGACAGTTGTACGATGTGAGCTATAATGACTCTGCCAAAATGGCTTCTTCCTTTAACAATAAAATACATACAGTGGCTTAAAAATGGCTGTAATCATCCACGGCAAGGTGTACACATTTGAAAAGGAGCCGATGCCAGGGAATATCTGTTCTATATACAAGAAAAGTTCTTGGAGCTCTTGAGATTTAAACTTGAAGAACAGCGTATTAACTCTATACTGCTAGAACCTTCACTGGTCTGGTAGTCTGCACTAGAACAATATTCTCATAGTGTACTTTAGTCCAAGAATTAATTAGAAGGTCACAAAAAATGCCTAATGCCTGTGCTATTGTGTTTTACTCCAGGATAAGTGTAACTACAAGAGCCATGTGTATTCTTCCTTGAATCTTGGTGTACTTTGTGTATTTCTTCCAGATCTGTGCAGTAATCCAGTGTAACACATGAAGCCTCCTGTAATAAAGACCGGTCACTGCCTCTCTCTCTCCTTGTGCAGGGTGACTGGCCTGGTCTCATCCCCCTCCTGTAATAAAGACCGGTCACTGCTGCTCTCTCTCCTTGTGCAGGGTGACTGGCCTGGTCTCCTCCCCTTCCTTTAATAAAGAATGGTCACTGCTGCTCTCTCTCTCCATGTGCAAGGTGACTGGTTTGGTCTTCTCCCCCTCCTGTAATAAAGACTGGTAACTGCTGCTCTCTCTCTTTGTGCAGGGTGACTGGCCTGGTCTCCTCCCCTTCCTGCAATAAAGACCGGTCACTGCTGCTCTCTCTCCTTGTGCAAGGTGACTGGTCTTGTCTCCTGACTAGTTTCCTGTAGTGGGTGGGGCATGTTGAGCTCCTCCCACAGCTCTGCTCTCTGTACAGGCTATGTACAGCACAGTAATGATATAACTGCAACTTTTGCAAGGTTAATATCTTGCTTTGGAAAGGCATTTGGTGCACACAAAGTGGTTTTATAGCCCTTAAGGCTATTTTGGATTATATTTTGATAAATGTTTTTGTGGCAGGACTGCAGCAATAATTAGTAATGTACGTTAGCTTTTAATTTTACCGTGTTGTCTTATCTGTTTTTGCTTTACTTTTCCTTTAGCGTCTGCTTTCTTTGTGACATACGAAACCGTGAAATGTTGGCTACACTCCGAGTCCTCCTCTTACCTCTCTCCACTAGTGCACATGGCAGCCGCCTCTATGGGGGAAGTGGTATGTACAATAATGAATGATTGCTTGAAAGGCATACCTTGGGGAAAAAAAAAAAAAAAATATATATATATATATAATTTTGGAATTTGTAGTTTCCTAAATCACTAAATATAACCAACATTTTTACCTCCCCCGCTCTTTTTATTGCAGTATTGGGGAGGGCAGCTGACTTGATGTCAAGCACCACTTCCCTGTGCATAATATTGGTACGAGCAGGGAACGTTCCTATTGAATTTTGGGTGCTGGGCTTTTTTTTCTGGTTATAACTTTCTAAGGAGGAGAAATGGCTACACATGTATATTGAAATTCCTATCGATAACCCCTCTCTAGGCACAAGAAGAATCTTTGTTGCTCTCTGGAGGATAATTTTCCTCCATTTTAGTTACTGAATATCTGCCTACAGTGCTTTCAAAGCATAAAGGGACACATACATCATATTTTCCGAGTGTTGAAACCTGCTCGGAACAAAAAGCTGGGGTCTCGATTATTCTTCCGTATAAAGGATCTTTCATGAATCAGTCAATCACCATTTCAGCTTCTGGTGGAAGCTGCTCTTCTTTGGCTCTTACATCGCATGCTAATTAAGGGGCAGTCACAGTTGCTGGCTGGCTGGTTGTTAATCAGAAGGAAATCCTCAGGGAAGGAAGATTGGAGTGTCAGCGTTTTTGCCATGCAGACCATCCCTTGCATTCGTTTGGATGGGCTTGATCATTGCTTATTCATGCACAGGACTAAGGGTGAGGAGCAGGGGAAAAAATTGGTAACGCAAGGTCTGGCCTTACACCCTATATTTTTAATAAAATTGCAGCTTTGCTTCAAAACTGGATTTCATGCAGATATAAAAGATGCAAATTAATGTAGTTCTGGGTTCATTATGAAAAAAATTATATATACACATCATATATACATCAATGAGCCCTGGCCGCCCATGACACTATCCCTTCATTTCCTTCCTTGGACCACTTTTGGTCGGTCCTGGCCACTGCAGACTGGGAACATCCCACAAGAGCTGCAGTTTTGGAGTTGCTCTGACCCAGTCGTCTAGACTTCACAATTTGGCCCTTGTCAAAGTCTCTCAAATCTTTACCCTTGCCCACTTTTTCTGTTTCCAACACATCAACGTCAGGGACAAAATGTTCACATGCTGCCTAAGATATCCCACCCACTTCCAGGGGTCATTGTAATATCTCCCTCCCACATGCAGGAGCCATTGTAATATACCCCCCCTCCAACTTCCAGGGCTCATTGTAATATATCCCCCCCCCCCACTTCCCGGAGCCATTGTATAATCAATATTATTCATTTTGCCTCTCAGTGGTCATAATGTTATGGCGGAGCGGTGTATGTATTTCATGTGTACATTCAGCTGTTTGCCCAGAGTTCATCTTTAAATCTGATTAGGTATCTAGCTCAGGGATTTGTTTCATTCCTACTTGATGAATTATTATGAGAATTCTGTTTTTTCTTTTATAGTATATTTCATACTCTTGTCTGCATCATCTCTCCCGCAATGTAATTACACAAGAAGCCATTTTAATTGGAAATCACCTCCAATCTGTGTAACCAACTTCCATTCCACGAGAGTAAAAATTGAAGTTATTTGTGATGTCATTTCTAGTGCAAGTGAGAACGTCTGCTGAAAATACAAATGATTGCCCTCCTCCGGCTCTGGCGTCCTGTAAATAAACATGTCATCCATGTAATGCCGGGAATTGGATGGGAAATTACAATAGCATTGTGAGTCTTGGTGGTGGACGGCTCCATGACACAATGTACATTCTTTCTGTATCGCTAATATGACACTAAGATGTGACTGTCCCATCTCGTCTGGATAACAATACCCTTGTGTTACCACAAAATAAGATTGTGTGTTGGGTCTTCCCATTCCCTATTCACTCTCTGACAGAAAGATTAAATTGTTTTTTCTGTGGTCTGCCAGAATTGTTCTGCGTACAAAATAATTTATTTATTTTTTTTAAAGCTGAACTCCAGGCAAAGAGCTAAATACAGAGATGAAATACATATACAGGAGCTGTGGATTTATATTTCTGTCCATCCAGTTCTTAGATTTTTCACAGCTTTGGCACACAGCACAGCGTAAGGCTGGAGACCTGAATTTTCTCTTCCGCAGTTCTGTAGCGCTTACAGGTCTTGTCCTACCCCCAGCCTGTGACTTGGCAGTGAAAGGAGAAGCAGCAAACTGATGAGCTAGTCTCTCTGTCACTCTGCTCTCTCTCTGCTTGTTAACACAATAGCACTGCAGCACTGCTGATTGGCTCCTTGTGCTGCTTCTTTCTCTCCCAATGTGAGCTTTGTCAAATGTACAGTTGATAACAATTGACTGATACCAAGTAAAAATTCAGGTTCTGACAAGTTCTGTTCACTTATGGATGCATATGAGATGGGGACTGTACTGTACCTATGTGATGTGAATGTGCTGCACGGAAAGCGCTGTGTACATTGACGGCACTATAGTAATACCTGGAATAAATAAAAAAAATAAAGTGCACTGATCCTTTTTGCATATGGTCTTTGGTATGCCAGGAGATGCCTTTCGAGACCTAAGGGAAGCCAATGCGCAGGTGTGCCTGGCTCACCGAGGATCAGAAGAGGTTGAGGGTGCAATTGCAAGGTAAGTATGAATCTGGGGAGGTGGAGGGGAGCCGGGTTAGCCTAGCAGAGGGCAGCAAAAAGGATAAGTACACTGGGGGGATTTATCAAAACTGGAGCAGACAGACTGTGCATGGCAACCAATCAGCTTCTCTCTTCAGTTTGTTCAGTTAAGATTTGAAAATGAAAGAGAGAAGCTGATTGGTTGCCATGCACCGCTGCTCCAGATGTTGTCTGCTCCAGTTTTGATAAGTTTCCTCTCCTATGCTTTAAATTGCACTTATCCTTTAGGAAAAAACTCCAGGATTTGGAAGCATTAACCCTTGCAGTGGGGCTTCCCACCGCACTGCAAGGGTTAACTGCTCGTTATTCTCTAGGGGCAAAAATAAAGAAGAAATATTCCCCTGATCCTCGGTCCTGTGGCTGTGACCGCTCCTCTCTGTGCCCCTCCACTCCGGCTGTGGTTTGTCTCTCAGCAGCTTCACATCTAATAAACTTGCATTAGACATGATGACATCACAGGTCCTTAGACCGCTGGAGCCCTGGGGGGAGAAGAGTCTGCAGGTGACCGGTCTAGCAAGGCAAAGCCGAGGATTAGGAGAGTATTTCTTGTTTATTTGGCCCCTTTAGACAAAACGAGCAGTTAACCCTTGCTGTTAGTTTTAAAAATCCTGGATTTCACTTTAAGATTTCCGCTAAGAGACAGATCATATTTTTGTCTGAAAGCCTTGTACCAAGATCCGGGGCTTTGGAAGTCCTGCATTTGGGCTACCAAGCTCTGAAGCAAAGGCATGGCTGCCCACTCCCTTCCACCAGGGCGTTTTAATTGACCTTGTTTGGATTTTGGGGGAACTCCGCAGACACTGCAGGCACTCCCTAATATGCGGGCAGCCACTGGCTGGGCTGGATTTAAAAACAATCCCAATAACAGATAAAAAGCATCTCAGTTAATGCATTGATGGCTGACTTGTATGTTCCCCTTCGGTGGCTCATAGTATGTTGTGATGTGAGATAAATCATCATTTTGCGTCGCGCACGTCTGGTTGCTTGCTGTCAGTAAATGTTATAGTCTCCCAGTTATCCGGCTGCTGCATTTCCTCTCCGCTGGCCGAAAAAAATAAACGCACGGAGAAGTCATCATGTTATTTTATAAAAGGCTCTGCAGAGCATGTCGGATATAACACAGGGGACAGAGCTCCATGAAATTGTTCCTTTATAAGAAAATCCCTGTGTGAGCGCAGAGGAGATTGCCGGAAATCTTAAAATAAAATGGTTTGTATGAGTACCGGGTTTCTAGATGGCTCTGTGATTGTATATTATAGATTATATAGGGAGGACCAGAATATTGTACCTCTTCATGACCATTGGGGATTTAAGCCTTGGTGAGTGACTCCATTTTGCTTAGAGAGTTGGACATGCTTTACGTCGATAATCATGCATGACACTGGAGACCTGCACTGCTCTTGTTCGGTAGACCTGACCAGTAGCCACAACCTGCAATGTAACTCTACTCCTGAGGCCGGCCCCTGGGGGAGGTGGTGCACGCAATCAGAACAACGGGAGGTGGAAAAAGGAGATAGTGCCACCCGACTCGAGAGTGACACTGGCCTCTGCGTCTCCCTGCCCAGCTCTAATCATCCTGTGATGCTCTGGCCGGCGTCCCGCCCAACTCCTGGCAACCAGTGGCATCACTGGTTGCCAGGAGCTAGACAGGACTCCGGCCACAGCATCCCAGGTTGCTAAGCTGGGCGGGGAGATGTGTATGGTCTTTACACTTCTCCCTGCCCGGCTCTTAGCAATCTGGGACGATGTGGCTGGAAAGGGGGCCGTAAGCCATGGCACTCTGCCTGCTGCCCCCCTACATGACAAAAACAGATGCTGCCTGAGGCAATAGCCTCAGGCTGGCTCGTTGAAGGGACGGCCCTGCATGTATGTATTTCCCCTGTGTATTTAGTGGTTTGCCTGGAATTCAACTTTCATCATTAACTGGCTGAAAATTGTTATCTCTCCAAGCTGCATGTACTGTATCTGTTGCAGCCATGTGAAGCTGTTGCTGTCCATGTTGGAATTTTCCTTCCATTTACAGTACTGAGAGTGCAGCAAGAGTGGTGAGACTCCATGATGAGGGGAATGGAGCCAGAAACTGTCATAGTTAGAGCTTGCCGCTGAAGTCACTGAGAGATCCAATAAGTCAGGCGGTGAGCCAGCATGCAATTACCCACCCACAACTAAAATATTGCTTTAAGTTGGACTTGCCCTTTAAGCCCATACATTAGCTTTGCATTGTTGGGCACAGTGTAGAAAATGTCCGTTATACTTCCCCTCAGGATTGACTATACAGCACAGGCAAAAAAAAAAGGATGTGAAGGAAGAGAAGCGGGAAAGTGGAA